AACTTAAACAATTCATAACTAAATGTGAAAAAAATCTATTTTTAGCAAAATTATAGTCTAATTGCTCATCTTAAAGTCTAGTCTTTAAAAATATATTAAAACTTTAGAAAGTAACCTTAATCAAAAAGTCAAAATTTGATCCCTTTAATTAATACATTTAAATAATTATAGAAAATCAATATTTAAGTTAAAAATTTAGAAAAAATTAATCCAATATTAAAACCAGCATCTAATCACTTTAATTAAAATTTATCAATCTTTAAATCTTTAATGAATTAAGCTACTTAATTTATATCGATTACTATTAGGTAACCCTAGCCTATGAGACTATTGACTTAGCCCCAAGAAATGTGAAATAAATTTCATGACACTGGTTTAACATAGGTAGTAATCATTTAACACTTAAATATATTATAAAATAAATTCAAAAATATTAAGACCTAAACTTGAATCAAAATTGCCTTAAGCCTTCAATGAATCAGAACCTCAAATAACTTTAATCAATTACCTTACATAAGACATATCCAAACCACACAGCCTATATCTCACATTTTAAATGATTTTCTAGGACAATTAACTCTAGTCTTTTGCTAGGGTGGTGTTTACTTTTCTATTATGTCGAGCTTTTTAAGTTTTTATTGCATGCTGATTATTAGTATAAATTGATGTGATTATTTACTTACTTTTTGCAATCTATGTATTGATGTGATAGGCATTATATTTACCTTTAGGTTAGGGGTGATTTAAATGCTAATACAATCTTATACATGTGACTATGCTCATACAAGATATTAAAAATAAAAGGGGAAAATGAATAAATTAATTTTTTAAAAATTAATGATATTTTTTACAAGTGATCCAGAATGTTAATTTCCTCTTTTAAATAAAAAAGTGTATGATCAAGCGTGGTTGATTTGAGCATTTTAATTTTCATATATAACTGTTTGAGATTATTTAAATATTAATTATGTAGGATAAACCTACATATTATTTGAGTCTAGGTTTTAACTTTCATTTAATGTAATTTAATTATATTTAAAGTTGTAAAAGTGTTTTGAGAAGTGATATTAAATATTTAATTTAAAATTCTAAGAGAAGAGTGATATCACCTAGGGGAGAGACCCTTTTCATTTTGATATCCATATTAGGATACTTTGATAATCCAAAAAGAAAAGAAAATATCCCATTTAAGGAGGGAGTTTCTTTTTATTTGAATTTTAGGAGTAGAATTCTAGTTATTATTAGTGATACTAGGCCACTATACTTTCTACATACCCTAAACCCAACATATTTAAGGAGATCATAGAAGTACAAAGAAGTGAAGATCAAGAAGAATCTCATTCTCAAAGTCACTTGAATTTTAGGAGTATAATTCTAGCTATTATTAGTGATACTAGGCCACTGTACTTTCTACATATCCTAGGTTATAATTTTAAGTGGCACTTGTCACATGGAGTGTTGAATTTATTTAATTAGTTTAATTTGTTTTGATTGATTTGTTTACTTTGCCTATGATTAAGATTGTAAGTTTTCTTAGTTTTTTTACGATTGCACGTCGTAGTTTTATTTAGCCTATAACTCGATCGGAGGCTTGTAAGGGAACAATAAAATATTTTTTACCTTAATTAAATTTAAAAAATTTATGCTCAGATAGAAACTCTAATGATTTTAAGAAATAAGCTTGAATCGCTGAGGGTCGCATATATCATATTATATATTCTTTTCCTTGTTAGACACCTCCTCGCTTGCAGGTTCTGGTAGACCCCTTGACCTATTAGGGTGCAGTTTTATCAAGGAAAAATTGTGTAATTTCTAGGAAGTAATCAATTTATAAGACTTTTTAAAACTGTTTCACATTTGATTTAAGCATTTTATTAAGTTGACTTGCATGCATCGTAGTAGATACAAACTTAAAAGTATTTAAAAAATTAATTGCATTTATTTTAAGCATCAATTTAACCAACATAATACAAAAGACCAATTATGATATGCTCTAGATGTTAGCCCCATTTCTATATAATTAACTAAACAATGTTTCTACCACTATTTTATTAAAGTCCAGACTCATAATTTTGCAGTGACTAGGTGATTAACTGACTACCCAATCCAGGTCGGGATAAGTCTAGATTTATACTGCATTAGTTATGTTTGAGTTTATGAATTTCATTGCCTAATTTTGACTTAGGTTCTAAGGTAAGTTTAGACTATAAGACCTCAACCTTCCGAGAATTGAATCTTAATTTTTTAATAAAATTGACAACTCAAATTAAATCTCTTTCAATCCAAAATTTAAGCTTGATACTTAGGATAAGTTGTGGTGCTTCTAAAATATTTTAGAATCACAAAGCACCTCTTACCTTCATCTGTTGACCTCTAGAAATAAGTATTACAATTTGATATAATCCCAGTTGAATTTCCAATCCTCACTCATTTGACACCAATCTTTAAAAATTTAAAATGAAATCTCTACTTTTTTTTTTTAATCGAGAGTATTCATAGAAAACTTATGTTTCCCAAGATGTAATTAACTACGAGAGCTTATGATCATATGAGATTTAGAATCCAGATCAAAATTTTAAAATTAAGTTTTTAAAATCCAATTAATTCTCTTTAGAAAAATTAAATTCAACGATCATTATCATTATATTCAAATGATTGATAGTGAATGATATTTTCTTTCTTTGGGAAGATATATCATTCTATTATAATGACTTTGATTATAAAATTAATCATCTTTTATTCATATTATTTATGCCAAACACTCGATCAAATATCATTTTGATCCTTCGAAATCAAATATTATTCTTCCCTAAGTTTGACTATGATAATTAGGGTGAACTTGCAATTTTATAATTTGAACCCATAAAAAATTATATGATCACCTCCTGAGGTAATATATTATTCATAATGACGTGTTTGATTTCAAAACTAAAATTCTAGAAATTAAATTCTCTCAAAGAAAATTAATTTTTTTTAAAAACTCAATCCTTTTTTAATCAAACATTCTTTAGAATTTCATAATCACCTTTCGGGATGATATGTTATTCTTTTTATGTTTAATTTAAGAAATTTCATTTTCCAAAACCCTATTTTGATATTGAATCCATTGTAGAATATTGTGTGAGTCACCCGAGATTGTACTTTATTCTCAATGCCGTATTCAATTACAAAATAAATGAATATTGAATCTGGTTGGTGGTTTATTTTCTCCACATATATTTCTTAGAAGCGTTCCTTCTAGGGTTGTAAATGTGTTGAGTCGAGCCAAATAGTGACATTATCGAGCTGAGTTCATTTAGCTCAAAGTGAGCTCAAACTTGAAATCAAGCTCATATAATTAGCTTGAACTCGACTTGTAAATATTTCAAGCTTGTACTTGGTTCGATTACTCAACTTGTTTAAGAAGCTCGAACTTGGCTTGTTTATAAAGCTCGGATTTTGTTGTTTTAAATTTAAGATTTTTTTTGTAAATATTGCTTGTAATTTAGGAAAAAAATAATTTTAAGTAAAATATTGATTTTCATTTCAAGTAGTGTAAATAAATATCTAAATGAAATTTAAAATAAAATTTAAATAAACAAGATGTAAAGTTGAATATTCTTCTTATCCAATTTTTTTTTTCAAAAAGTTGTGATGCAAGTTGAATTTGAAATAAAACTTAAATAAAACAAATAAATATCAAATTAAAAAACCAAATCAAAGCAAAACCCCAACAACATTATTATAATCCACATAACTATCAACATGAGTTCTGTTAAAAGAGTTATTAGATTCAAACATTCTTTGAGTTATTTCCATCCCATCACTGCCTTCTCCACCTATCCAACAATGACTCATTCGTAGCTGGCAATAACATTGTGAATTGATGATATACATTAACACTTTACAATTATGTGCTCAAATTTGCCTATTATTTTCTCAAATCAATCCTCCACATTATCTACCCAATTAGAGTTTAAATAAATATTCCAATTTTATAATTTATATTGGTAGAAATAAATTGGTCATTATTGAGTGGAAATCATAGGGCATTAATTAAACTAAAGATTTGGAATATATTTTGAAAACAACATGAAGCCTTCATTGGGTTGGCTACATAAATCATTTTTTCCATTATATCCTATTAAGAATTGAATTCTCATTTAAAATTAATAAAAAAATTATTATTTTTAAATTCCTAATCATGTCTTTTAGGTTTATCTCTACTTTTCGTAACATAAACAAAATCTAATACATCTACTCTCATAATCTAGTCATCTTAAAGCCGAAGTTTTATGAGACCAAATAATATAAGGTGACTCATTTAAATCCTATCTATCAATGGAGCCACTACAACATTTTCACATATATATATATATATTCACCAGTGTGCTATCTATAAGTTCAAATTCACTCACCCACCTAAACCTCCTCATCTCTGCTACACTTAATTTTATGCATCTCTATTAATGGCCAACATTCTGCGTAATAAAGCGTTGCAGGCCTCACCATTATATTATTGAATTTTTTTCATAAGTTAGAGGAATTTCTTTTATCACCACACAACAATATTGATGCATTCCTCCACTTCAACCATCCAACTTGAATTCTACTAATATTGTCCACATCTATTTCACAATCGTTTCAATCAAACAATAGAGCTGATATATCTAAAACATACTTCTTTTTAATGACTTTACCCTTCAAGTCACAATCCCTCTTCTTTTTAATGACTTTATCCCCTCAAGCATAATCCCTGTCCTAGATATATTACCACTAAAATTATACTCCATTCATTTACTTTTAGATATAATCAAATGAAATCCTTTAGACTCCAAGGTTAACATCCATAATTGAAGTTTTCCTTAAAAATAAAATAAAATAATCTAAATATTATTATTTTTACCAAAAAAATAATAATTTAATTAACATAGTTTATTATCATTAATTTTTTAAGGACCCAAAAAAAAAAAATCCCAAACATATAAGAAACTTAATTTATAAATAGATCTAATATTGATTATCATTAAACAATGCAACAAATTAAACATGCATAAGCAATCAATCATTCAAACATGAACACAATGCAGCACCAGCCGTCCAATCACGTCAGCCATCTACCCTCCCAACATAACCCTCGATCCTACGGTTCAGCAATCATCCCGGACGGCGGCGAGATCTAGTCGACTTCTCTCCTTCAGCGCGCGCAATAGCTGCGCTCCCTTCCTCCTCCCCCGAGTGCTACACTCTCCTTGTAGCGCCACGACCACTGCATGCGCCACCACTGACGGCGCTTCCGCCGCCCTCTCGCCGCCGTATATAGCTGCCAAGATCCCGATCCCACATTCCCTTCCTCTTCCTGTCATCTCCTCGACAGATCCGGCGAGTGCCGCCGGCGCTAGAGCGTGTTCTCTCACCTCTTCCGCGCCTTCCTCCACTGTACAAAGCAACTCCAGCGCCGCTAGCGTGCGTTCCTTCACCGTAGTGGCCCCTGATCCGGCGGAAGCCACCGCCTCCACAGCAGCAGCCACCGCTCCAGCTTCCACTGCTACCCGTCGGTTTCCCTCCGCCAATAACATAGCTAGCAATACCTTTGCCGCTGCCCGAGCCGTTGCCGTTACCTTGAGAGCTGTGACCACACCCGCCATAACCCCTGGTGATGCAGGAGGGGCCGGCGGCGAGGGGCTGGCTGTCGCGAGCGATCGCTCCAAAAGACGGAGGGCGTGAAGGCTATCGCCGGCGCTAAAATGTAGCTCAGAAGCGTGAAAGGCTTCAGCGAGATCGATGGATAAGGTGGATGCTGAGTCTGCGGAGGGAGGGCGGTTGGATTCTGGATCCGGCGGCGGCGGCTGGTTGTGGTGGTGGCTGTGCTGGAGAGGGAAACGCCATTGAGTGAAGCTGTGGGATGCAGAGGAGGATGAAGACGAGGAACTTGACGAAGGAGCGGCGACTGAAGGAAGAGGAGCAGCCGCCGCAGTTGGAGGAGGCAGCGGTGGAGGAGGAGGAGGGGGAGGCAATGGCTGTTGGAGGAAGGCAGCTGCTGAGCTAGGGGGAGTTCTAGGACTGAGGACTGACTGTGTGCAGTTGCGGAAGATCCCACAGGAGAAGAAGGGTCGCGGCGGCGGCTTAAGTTTGGGCTGATTCCGGCTCATCGCCGCCAGAAAAGAGGAAAATTTAACTGGCCGCAAGCAAGCGCTTTGCTAGCTTCTCGTGACAATGGTGAGGAGAAAGGTTATTGCCGCGTGGAGTTTTGAGAAGGAAAGGTGGATTAACGATGAGTCTGCGAAGCAGAACGGTGAAATGGTGAGAGAAGGGAAGAATCTGAGTATAGTGGATTGAGACAGACGGAAGGTGGAGGGGACCATTAAGGTTGTACCCTGTACCATCTGTGGGGCCCATGGCTTATGCCATTGTGTGTGTGTTTTTTTTTTTCAATTTAATTTAATCTATTTATTTATTTTGACGATCGAAGGATGAGGGATAAGGATAGTACATCTCAAACGTATAGAGGACACTAACGTTATGAGAAAATAATTGATTCGTTACAAGTAAATTCATCAATCAAATCTATATTTTGATACTGGAAAATTTTAAAATTAATTTTATGATCATTTAAGTTCCAATTATAGTAAATTTAAATCAAATTAAATATTTCAATGGCAAATTTAATAGCATTAAAAGGTAATTTGATCTTAATTCAAATAAACCCAAATAGAATAATGGAAATATCATTAAAAACTTCATGATATTATTGAAAGATCAAAGAATTTTTAAATATTGCATGCTTATAGTTAAAATTAAAGACTCTACGAGATGAATCCAACGAACATAAGGTCGGTTAATTTTAAGGTCATTACGACATTAAAATACTGAAATAATAATCAAGGGTGTTAATAAGAGTTGCTTAATGTAGTGTTTTGCGGTTTTTTGCTAAAATTATTATAATATCACTTAAAAAATTATAATTAGCCTCCAATTCTTTATATGATGTGGGGCTTAGGAGCTTGGTCCTTGAGCTAAAATTGGAGAGAGATTGCAGATCTAAAAAACTGTGAAGCTCAACTTGAGTTTTTATGCTGATGCTCACCACTAACAATCATTATTGCCCAACTATTATCGCTCAAAACCAATCTTTTTCACTATCGTTGCTCAACTACATTCTTTTACCACTATCGATGCATGCCAACTTCATCACATTGTGTTACCCCTTATAGCAATGTTTATCATCACCTACTCCACCAAGTTGATCACTTATCAACGTCAATAATATCGATATATGCCATCATTTATATAGCTAGTGCATGCCATCAACACCAAAAAAGGTGTCCTCCAACTTCATCAACTATTGTTGCTAATAAAATTGACACACACTATTGTCAACAAGAATAATGCACATCATCAACATGAACTCCAACTCCTTTGATCAACACCAAGTTTTACATTAATCTTCTTGGTCTTTGGTCCCCTCTCCGCAAAGTAAAATGATCAAACGTACTAAAAATATATCTCTTGACGATAAATCTCATGACTTAAGGCTCTTCAAAATTACATCATAGAATCCATCCTCCATAGATCATACCTACTACATTGCATCATTGCTTTCCCCAATTAAGGGGAAAAGTGTCATTAGTAACCTACAAGGTGTACAAATGGAATAGCTTGTATTCTTCTTACAATTTTTGTGGATTTCACCAAAACACATTTTATTGATGCACCTCATGAATATCCTAAGAGAAAACATTGATGTCTTGTCTAGGAGGAACTTATGTTATCATATTTTTTTAGGAGTCTTCACCCTGGCTAGCATATATATCATGTATTTCTTTCTATTGCTATCATAATATCCAACAAAGAAAATTTCATCATTGAACAAGACAAAAAAAAATAAAAAAATTAAGTCTTAATCTCATTAGAATTTTTAGAAGAATCACAATGTAATATATATCTTTTAGAGGTGATAAGATATTTACCTTTTCAAACCACATTTTTTTATATAAATAAAGACATTTTTATCTTTTCATTTAAAAAACACCTTATGAGGGTAAACATCAAACATGATCTCCACTTCAAACCCTTGTAAGTTATGCTTATAAGGAAGCTTTGATGGAAAGATATGAGTGGATATGGTATTCACTAAAAAGACTCAATGAGAGCAAGTGGTTAATAAATTATTCACGCATTTAAATATCTCAAAAAGTATAAACCCTTAAAGGTATACATTCTTTTTAAAAATCTCATAACATACTTGCAAAAGAAAGTGTATGTTTTGTCCAAGAACCTTGAAAGATATAAACCTTAGAAGGTACAAGTTTTACTCTTATTTAAAAATCTTAAAAGATGGAAGCTTCAAAAGGAACATGTGTAATAAATATTATCCCAAAACTCAGCTGATTGAACTAATATGGTATGAATCTTCATTTATTTTAATCTAGTTATTAATTATAAGTCTTAACTATCTATTCAATACCACATAAGATTAAAGATTAAAGGAATGAGGAAACCATAGAAGGCAAAATATTCATTGGTGCGCTGCGGTACTTAGAATGGTGGCGCTATGGTGTTGTCTTCTATATTTGGGAAGGAGATTTTAAGGACTATTGTGACATTGGGAAGGAGGGTTTATGGTGCTTAGTTCATAGTTTAAGGGAATCTATGATCTTCTAGAATATTCTATTAGAGTGCCATGGTGTTGTATAAGGGAGCGCCACATCGCCAACTCAAAAGTGATATTTTTAAAAATAAAACATCTAAATCCATTTCTAATATTATAACCCTCACCCGAACCCCTTATTATTACTAGAGAAGGAAGAGAAGAAGGAGAGAGAAAAGGAGGAAAGTGGTTTAGAGGCCATGGAGCTGAATTCATTCTTTGGGCTAATTAGGGGTTTATTAGGTAGGAGGTAGACTTCTAAAAACTTGTCTTTGATTTAGATTCAAATAAGTATATCATAAGATATAGACAAAAATATATTTTTCTTTGCTTTTATAAAATTTTAACCACATAACTTTCAGTATACTGTAAAATACTTTACTCTGAACACTTGAATATTAGAAGTTAAATTTTATCAGTTAGTTCTCTATGTGCTAATTTCTTTGAATTTTAAATAAGCGAGGCATTTTAAGTATCCAAGATAGTTCTCTAAATCTCCAAAAATATTACTTTGAATATTCTTCTAAAATTTTTACTAGAAAAAATGTTAAGTGTGTAGGGTTTTACATATATAATGTCAACCCAATTTAGTAATTCTTGTAGATCATACATCATCATTTTCATATTTGAAATAATAATTATTTTCTAATACATTAAAATTACATATTTCATGGCATAGCATTAAAGAAGTTTTGAAATATGAAAGATTGCAAGTGCACTCTTTGAAATGTTACAAGGGCCCTATAAGTTATATTCTTGCTCCATCTTCCACATGTAAATGTGGGAGGCTTTTTAGTCTTACTTGTTTTATGCGGATATTGGAGGTTTTCTGCTTTGTTCTAACCCCATTATTTATGTAAGTGTGAAATGTTTATGTTCTATTATGACCTCACTTGCCTTGGGAATGTGTTGGAGGCTTAAAGGGAGCTATAAGTGAAAGTAGAATTTTAAAAAAGCATTGGAACATATGCATAGTACATTTATGCATAACATATTCTTATAATTTGAAAAAGTTCAAGTGTAAGAATTATTCTTGTAGCAAATATATTCTAATATTTTAATATCCATGTGAAGTTTACTTATAAAAGTATTAGACATAACTATGATAATAAGCTTTTTCTTATACCCCTATGAAATTATTCATATGAATGGTGTGAAGGTAAATTGTGTATAAAGTTAAAAATTACTGAATTAATATTTTTGAAATAGAAATGTGTTAAATTTCATATATGATTAATTTTTGTCCTTTTTTTTCTATAATTATATGTGTGGTTCAAAAATTTTATTTATTTTGTTGTTATGAAATTTAATTATTTCTATATTTGTGTATCAATTATCATGTATGGATTTAAAAATTTTTTAAATTTTTTTACTAAAGAATGTGTTTTAAAAATAACCAATTCACCCCCGCCCCCTATTGGTTAGCGTTGGGCTAGTTCTTAAAGGTCTAACAACCTTCACAAACCTTCAACAATTGTAGATTATCATAATGGATGATCTTATTCTTACATGGTATGATATTTAATCGCCACCTATCATAGATGATGATTAGCTATGTTTTTATACTAATCATACTAGACGATGTTCTTAAACATACATGACGATTAATATAAACACTTGAATGGATCGTATAGGGCAATGCTATTCGTAATGGATGAAATAGCTATTTTGAACTAATCAAACAAGACAATCCTAAGATCATACTTGACGATTAGTGCTACCAAAATTGAGTTTTAAGGTTTTTCAAAATGCTCTATTTAAGCTTTCTTAAAAGACCTAGTATGTATCTTTGGCATTCATTGACTCATTTTTTTCTTATGGAGAAAACTTGAAGAGAGAGCCTTGAGCATGAGAAAAGAAAGGGTGGAGTTTGAGAGAGCGAGAAGATCCTTGTGGGGTTCAAGGGAGTGTGACATGGAGTTTTACATGGTTGCTTTGGAGAACTTGCACCTAAGTACCATCATAGTCAAGGCTTATCTTCAGGGAAATTTTTAGAAGAAGAAGATTTCTTTGGTGTTAAAGGACATGCCTACTCCATCACATCGGGAAAGGTGAAAGGGATTCATTATTCTCTACCTGTTAAAGGATTTGTTGTTATCTACCATAACCTGGGGGTGAAAAAGGATCCAAGCGTCTCATGGAGGAAGAAAAAGGACTACGGTTCTCTACCACATTTGGTTGATGAAAGAGATATTATAAGGGCTTCTCCACCTAACTATTGGGGAAAAAAGAGAGTCACTAAAGGTTTTGCGAAATACATGGAATGGAGGTTTCCGGGGAGTAGACGTAGGTTAGGTTGGACCAAACTGTGGACCTCCAAAAGGTCACCACCGACTGCAGAGTGCAGAGGGGATATGACCACACCATCTCGATGGATAGAGACCTCCACGCTCCTTGCAAATAGGCCAATGAAAGGGCATATTAGATCATACATATGACTAACCATTGAGGATAGCGGCTCTCTCCAGCACACCTCGATAGGTAGTAATATATATGACCTGATCGTAACAATAGGTCCCCCCCCCCCAATACAACAACTCGAGTAGGGTTTATTTGATGGTGGAGTTCCATTTCTCACATGCACAAGCCCCCGTGGTTAATTACATCTCAAGGTTAGG